ACACACACAATTTAACCAACCCGATTTCAGAGCATTAAAATGTAGGACATGTCTTGAATTTACGAACCTAACTAACACACAATGTGATTTCTAACAGTTCAAGCTTCTTGATGCCTTACCTGTCATCACCTGGGTATTCTAAGTATTCTCCGGGGAAGAGCCCCAACGACAATACTGATGTATCGGAGTCTTCCTCCTCGCACTCAGGAGTGGCTCGAATGCGGCCTTTGACAAGATTAATAAAAACACCGGAAATTACCCAATAAACAAAATCATCACATATCTCAAAATCATAATACTTAAATGTATATTTCTTTCACAATAACCATTTTTCTGACCTAGAAATTTTCTAATGTTAATCTGTTGAATGATTCGCTCTGTTTCTATATTAAACTTGACGTCATTGTTTTAGTCACAAATAACTTGAAATAAAATCCAAAATAGTAAAATAAAGTTCTGTCTTCAAAAACAAGACATTTTTTATTTTTTGTAAGAGACAAAATTTTTTCATTAAGCCAAAACTACGTGGAATATCCGTCAATAATAATAATAAAAAAAAAACAAGAATTCTATCATCACAACAAAGGTGGACTTTTAACCAATGGAAGGTTTCAAAACTTGTAGGATATCCTCATAATGCATGTTAGGTGAATGACTTTCTATGAAATGTGATCCATACCTACAACAATTTCTCTTATTTCTCTCCAGCGAATGTCGGGACACTGTTCGTGTACAATAGTGAGACGAATGCGTCTCTGAATACCTTGGTGGAGAAGAAAACTACTTTTGCAGGGATTATCATCACAGTGGTCAACAACAGCAGGAAAATATCTGGAAATTAATAACAATAAAAAGGTTGTAAACATGCTTTTATTTGCGATATAAAACAAGTTATGTGTACATGAAAAGGATATTCAAATTGCTGTGAATACAGTTTTCTCTCAATCGCATCTTCCAAATACCAGTATATCAAATCGCAAATCTCCAATGAAACCAGATACGAGTAATCCTGATATCTTTTTAGCGATACAAGCTAAAACCTATTAATAGCAAGTATGAACTCAGTGTGAATATAACATCGTAATATCATGCCTATGTGATACACTGATACCCTAGATGCAAGTTTAAGTATATGCTAAAACACAGGTTCCAGAGATGTTATGCAGAGAATTATAATGTGCATAGACAGCAAAAGAAGGCAGATGAAAGAACAAATAAAATAATATGTTTATTCACTAGCAGTGTTTGTCTGATACCAAACTTTCCAGCTTCTTTTTCTGTATATGGCTGGTGGGGCTGGAGAAGGGGCTCCAATTAAGTCAATGTAGGACAAGAAAAAGCAAAGAATAATGTAATATAACACTTTTGAGTCAGGCCAGGATCCTGGTATGGTATCCCACAATCCTTATATTACCCACAACAAAAATTATTCCAAATAACAAATAAAAGGGAGACAACCCTCAACTCTAATAACATGTATTAGTATCTGAGCCACCCCCTTAAATGTGCTTTGTCACCTCAAGGACTAGAAACAAGGTAAAAGATTCTATGATAATAAGTTGGCAAACAACAATTTATAAGCATGATGAAGTGACCTGAGGGGGGGGGGGGGCATTCTACATTCTATGGGAAAGCAGTTATAGTATGAAACTTTTTATCTAAAAAAGGGATTAGTGCATGTTACATTCTTGTACATGCAGTTTACAAGAATGTCTAAATGGACATTTGGAGAAATTACCTAAATATATCTAAATAAATATATTCTACATCAATTATGATAGATTGAAATTAGGGATTATTTCAACTATGAAACATGGACACTGGAGTTACAAAACATAAAACTAAGTCACAGTTTCATATAAAATAAGGACGGCAGAGAACTGAAAAGATTTATAACTAACTAATTACTAAAACTAGGAACATCTAAACAATTGTATATAATAATGTATAACAAAGTTTTATGTGAATTATTAGAACTTAACAGAAGAGAAGAACATGAATTCCTAAGAGGATTTCCAAATGATAGTTGGGTTTTTTTTTTAGGAACTGTACCTCTTTGTCTTTATATAATCCTAATAATTATTTAACATAAATAAATATCTATATTAAGCAGCAACAACTTAAGTTCAAATCAACTGCATTACTCAGCTATCATATCTGATGTAGTCCGTCGCAACACTTAGTTTTCAAAAAATCTGTTAAAAATAAATAAGTGATTACCAGCAATATACTTACTCTCCATTAGGTGCAAGTTCACAGATCTCAAACCAAACCAAGAGGTCATACTTGGCATGGATATGAGTCGTACTAAAAAAAAAAAAATAAATAAAGTATCAAGAAAACAATTATGATATTGTCTTCCACAACATTCATTTGTTAAAGTATTGAAAAAATTCAGTTACTATTCAACGAGTAAATGTAAACAAGTTATTGGTCAATACTTTTAAATAAGTGAACTATTAAAGAGTTTAAAAAGTTTTACAATTGTAATACTTTAAAGGCTTCAGATTATCTGCCACCCAAAAAAAACTTAAAAAGATCAAAATGGATATGACGTACGATACTTGTAAGATTCTGGTTAAGCATCAACCGAGTTCTATCACCAAAAAAGTATACAGATAGTTAGATAGACAGGCTTATAATACATATTTTACTTTACATGCCTATTAATACACATGGCATTTATGGCTCAATGAACATCACTGGAGTTCTAATTGTATAAGATTAGAAAACACATAATTTGCATATTACAAAACATACAAGCTTATAATGTGTAACAAAATGAATCCTATAAAATTATGTATCTATCATCTTAACACAACATCAAGTTGGTGTTAGGTTATAAAATGAAAGAATATGAATGTGTGTTTATCTAAAAATTACATCAAGTTGGTGTTAAGGTAACAAAATGAAAGAATATGAATATGTGTTTATCTAAAAACTACATCAAGTTGGTGTTAGGTTATAAAATGAAAGCTTCCACTTGTAAAGATCTTGATCAGAGCAGTAATAACACTCCTCAGTAAGTTATAATACAGATTTTATCAACTGCTATATTCTTACTAGTTCTCATGTTACAACAAGAGGTGACGAGAACCAGTGTTCTCACCTTAACTGTAAAGCTGAATAACTTCAAACTCTAGTAGAACTGTGTATGCAAATCTAATATCTAGACCGAGAACCTGAGTTCTCACCTTAACTGTAAAGCTGAATAACTTCAAACTCTAGTAGAACTGTGTATGCAAATCTAATATCTAGACCGAGAACCTGAGTTCTCACCTTAACTGTAAAGCTGAATAACTTCAAACTCTAGTAGAACTGTGTATGCAAATCTAATATCTAGACAGACAAGACATAGAACTTACAAGAACAAAATTTACGCTACTTACCTTGGAGACTGCAAAACCCCAAACTTGGGGGACCTCACAGGCTGAGAGATGGGGATTGACTGGGGGAACATGCGGCGAGGAGGCTGACGAATACTAAAGAAATAATTTCTTGCTCATCAGAATAAATTAGGTTTTATAAAATTATTTTATTTCATTTAAACTAACACATTTCAAAATTTTTAAAAATCAAACTTTATAGATAAATGCTAACATCTTTCTCTCTCTTTCTGGTTCTTTTGTAGCAGAACTTGTTTTAAAATACGAGATGTGTTAAGGGTGTCGATCTGAGGTGTATGAATACATCATGCATGCAATGTTGAAATGTAAAATCTAATATATGTTTTTGGTAACAAAATCACAGTTAAAAATCAGCTTTTGGATAGTAAATATTTCTAAATATATATATAACTTTCACAAAGACTGAATGGCTTCAAGAATGTTATAAACAAACGTCTCCTTAAAGCATCAGATAGAATTTAGAAAAGAAGTTATTTCATCTATTTCTGAATAGCAGGAAATCTGAGAGTACTAACTACGGCTGCTGAAAAGTCGAGTCTCGAGCGTCTCTGTGAAGAGGGTGCTGCTGATAGTGACCAAACACTTCAAAAACAATAGGCTGACTTCGGATGTATTCCAAGAATGACTTGGTGACCGTCACAGTAATCTATAAAGATAGTGTGAAAATATTATATAAATACACACAGTGATCTATAAAGCAGTGTGAAAATATTATACAAATACACACAGTTGCATAATTAAAGTTTATCTTATATATTTTAATACAATCAAAATAACAGCACAGTTAGCTAAAGTTTTCAAATGATACTGCGTTACTCAATACATGTGAATATGATATGATACCACTGAGTGTGTATGAACAATTTTTCTCAGTTCAGTTAGAAAAATATCTCCTTAACCTGGAGATCCATGAAAAGATATTATTTTGATTATCATATCATGTTCAGTTCTGAAGTTAACTGATACAATTTGAAAGTGTATACAAATGTTACTAGCCACAGACGTGCAGCTTTAATTTTAATCAATAATTTGATAGAGGTATTCAAAATTATTTCAAAATATTAAAAAAGAGCTACCACCCTGACCTAATGGGTCCTCAAAGTTACACTTAACAATGTACATCTATTGTGTTTAACCAAATCAAATGCACTTATAGTTAACAATGTATATTTATGGTGTCTAACCAATGCCTCAGTTGCCCTTAATTACTGGTGTAATTACTTTAATTATGAATGATTTCATAATCTTTTGAACAGATTTCACCTACATTCTGAACATGGAAGAAGCCGGGAGGTGGTCCTTTGCCTGTATTTTTTAGTGGCTCTGTAGAAAAGGCTTCATCATGACGGTGAAGAAAGCTGAAACAATAAAAATGGATCAAAAAACATAAAAATTATCATAAAATCCTTCTAAAAACCATTTTTTAACTCACTGGAATAGATTGCTAGGATAGTAAAACAATGTACAGACATTTAAAAAAGAATCCAAATATTAAAAAAGTAATCCGATATAACAATTACTCACTTGAACTGACAAAATATGTCTGCATATTCTCGTGAGATTCCTATAGCCTGTAATACCGTGACTCGGAAAATAAACTGTTTGCCAAGCTGTAAGTGATCAGGAAGGTTTTCATCGTTTAGCTGAGTTTCTGGGGTTTTCACATCATCATCATGCTTTATTTTATTTTCTGGAGACATCTCACCTTCTCCTAAGATGAGAAAGAAAAAAAAACACATGGCTTTGTGAAAAACTCTAAATTGATAAGTATATTTTTTTAATAAAATCATTCTTATAAAACTTAAAAGACAGTATTCTTATTACTTTAAATTGATTCTTTTCCCATTCTTTGGAAAATATTATTATTATATGCATTCTTCAAAAAAGAAATAACTGTTGTGGAAAGTGAATGTAAAAAATGAAGGTTTTGTTTTATTCACATCTTTAGCATTTCTTTAAAATAATCATCCAAGTTTTACACATTTTCTCAATAGTTTAACAATAATAAATTGATAATTTATACAGCTAAACCTACTATAAAGCAAAATTACCTGATCATCAATATAAATTGAATTGCTGAAGGTACTGATTTGTTTTTTTTTTACACTTACACTGGCTCTTTATGAATCTTTCTTTTCTTTCATAAGTAAATAAATTTTATATTGAATTCTTTAATAAAACTTTTATGAATGATATTATTAAAATGCTTAGTGTCTATTATGTGCGCATGTGTGTGTGTATATATATATATATGTATCATAAGAATTACGTTGCATTGTTAGCTTATTGTATGGATTTAGAAATACACTTAATCACCTAAGCTGGCTGAGCTGCAGAAGATATTATTGGGATTACAGTGGAAAACACTGTTAACAGTGTTTGGATCAATAGTTAATGATATTATACAGCTTAAGACAAACGTATAAACTTAGACTGCTTGCCATCGTGTAATTCAAGCCCCTCCTGTTTCAACAAACGTCTAACATTTAAAAAAGCTTCATCCAACTAATGTAGGATTCAATTTTCCATCCAGCAGTGATAATGCTAATCTTTTATCGGTTCTACTCATGGAATATGTGTATAATTACAAAATGAAACTTTATCTTAGGAATTGTTAAGATAATAAGATTTTTTCCATTCTCAAACTAATATCTTACCATCTACTCGAACAATCTCCGGGCCTTGTCCTTCTCCCTCTACAATTCTTTCTTCTGACAAGTTTGGAATTTGGTCATTATGGGAAAAGTCTGGATCTTCTTGTTTATCATTCTAAGCCAAATAGATCATAGGTTTAATAGGTTGTAAAATAGAAGAAAACATGGCCGGTATCTTTATATAATTACCTTTGTTAAAGTCCAATCAGAAGTTGTTTGGCTAGTGACGGACCTAATAAGTTGACCTCTATAAGCACATTTCATATCTGCTTTTTTAGCATACATTCATTGTAATTAACTTATAAACATAGAGCATAGCTTATTTCAAAAACACATTTTATCTGTGTGTGTGTGTGTGTTTGTATAACTTAATTTTCCTGAACGCAAGTAATAAATGAGACATGTTGTTAATATAACATATTAACTCTGAAGCTTAAAACGCATGTAGTATTGACTAGAATTATGCACATTTGTTATTGGGATCAACATGACATATTAACTCTGAAACTTAAATGCATGTAGTATTGACTAGAATTATGCACATTTGTTATTAGGATCAATATAACATATTAACTCTGAAACTTAAAACGCATGTAGTATTGACTAGAATTATGCACATTTGTTATTAGGATCAACATAACATAGTAACTCTGAAACTTAAACTATGTAGTATTGACTAGAATTATGCACATTTGTTATTAGGATCAACATAACATATTAACTCTGAAACTTAAAACGCATGTAGTATTGACTAGAATTATGCACATTTGTTATTAGGATCAATATAACATATTAACTCTGAAACTTAAACACATGTAGTATTGACTAGAATTATGCACATTTGTTATTAGGATCATTTCACACAGGTCAGCTAGAACCACTTCTATAACAAAATTTGGCTTAAAATGTTTTCGCTGTATTTACTGTATTATATATAACTTCTTTATATGTTCTTATGCTTTAAGTTGACTATACTGATTAAATGTACATTTTAAAATGCAACCTTTTTTTCTAGAAAAATTAACAGGTCATTGCACATACTTTAAGAAACTGGTCTATGGTGTAAAGGCTTCAAACTGACAAAGCAAGATTTATCAAAATGCCACAACTCTGTACTGATATCTTTCACCATTATTGGTGGATTGAAGTCATTAGTGAAATTAAGCAGTGGTTTGTGATATGCAAGATAAAAATCAAGATCTTAACTTATAAAGACAATTAGATGGCTATCTCAATAAATTATTGCACTCCACTCTTCAACAAAAATGAAGAATGTGGACCTAATTTTTGCTTTTAAAAACAAATTAATACTTCTTCAAATTATACAAAATGGTGACCAGAATGTACAGAGAACTCCAACACTATGCAAGTTGGCCATCAATTTTGTCACAAGTTTACAGCTTATCTCTGTAAATTCAGAGAAAGTATAACAAAATAGTGTATCACTATAAAAGTTTACTACAATTTCAAAAACTGTACAAACTGATCCTGGTAATTAAACCGAAAGTGGCATTATCTTTTAGGTGTTTTTTTACCTAAACCTTACAGTTTCAAAATAATTACTTACCATATTTGACATATATAATTTAAAAAAACTGTAAAAGTTAATTAAACATAATAAAATAGAATCATGAATTTTTTACTAACTTTTCCTAACAAAATATTTTTTTTAAATCAAAAACATTGAAAATATTTTAAAGGAACAAAAAAAAGTTCCAAACTCTCTCATTATTATCTATTCTTAACACTTATTTTAAAAGTCTTGAAATGTTTCAAAATTACAAATTTCAAAATTCCAAGAGAAATTTCAGAATTCATTTCGAAAAATTTACAAATATCTGTATGCATATAAATTAGTGGTTAACTTTACTGCTTCAAAATATCACTTATGCCAGCTATTCTCAAACTTTTAGCGCACTTTGATATACAAAAGTAGGTATACAGTTTTTACTTTATGAATATCACAAACTCATAGCTGTAAGTTGCTGCACATCAAATATCAAGGAAAAAGGTATGTACCTTTTTATTTTTTTGGAAAATTTCATCATTGAAACTGATGCGAGCAGACTGGCGTACACCTGTGCTGCATTCAGCACTTTCTTCGTCTTCTGTCATGGAAGAAATTAACAAGTTTCGTTAAAACCTGTGCACTATGTTGGCACAAATACAAAAAAAAATACTTCTAATAAACAATACTTGAAAGTGTCAGTACTTGGTGAAACTCCATAATTACAGAATTGAGGAAAAACAAGACAATTGTACGTTTCACAAATACATCATTTATTACGACCAGATGATGCCTTTACTTGTGAAACCAAGGTTGTGATAAATGACATATTTGTGAAATGTACAATTGTCTTGTTTTTTCCTCAATTCTGTAATACTGATAGTCAACTAACTTCTCAATGTCTTAAACAACTTTACATTACCCTAAGTAAATTAGCATTACCAGTGTATGTCTAACCTCCTTTTAATGTGAAGAAGTTAATAAAATTTTATAAGTTCTTATCTAGGCAGCTTCTGTGCTTAATTCATTTTCCGTAAATTCGTTCCAATGAAACTTTAGCGATACAAGTCCTTTCTTAAATAAACTGGTTTATTCTTTCCGAATACAACTTTACCAATACACTTAATTTCAACAGTCGCTCTATAATCAAACGCTATAACTCACTTCTCACGTGGCCAACAATATTTTGTCCGCATACATTCAATTACTCAATACTCTCCGTCGCATCGTGGCCAGTCTTATATATATACAAGACAACACTATATCTAGAAAGATCATGAGATTTAAGGAAAAGACGTGAAAGTTCGAGAACGACGTGATACTAGTCACGTGACCTCGATGTCGTAACAATATTATAAAATATCAAAAAGTAATATTTTAAAGAGTTAATTTTAAGTTTGGGTGATGATAAAAACAACAACATAAAAGCAGGTGATAGTTCACCTTTACAAAATCTTTCATGGATAAAAGCTTGGTTTAATAAATGCTTAACGACTGGAGGCGTAACAATATAATCATAAAAATGCAACATAATTTTCTACAATAAACATATATTACGCAAATATAAGAAAAAAGGATAGAGTTAAATATCAGAGCTAACCTGTTACTGCCTGAACTGCTACTCGAAGATACCCTTTGATATCTCCTTTTTCGTTGACAATGGCTACCTTCTGAACAAGAGGTACTGGGTAAAGAAGATTACTCAGATAGACAAAGGCCCTGAAAAATATGAAGGTTCAGTTTTATCCATATTTCAAAACAAAGATTTGATAATGTATTGTGTACATTACTAAGTGGTTTAAACTTCTGATAGAAGTATCATGTATACCTGATGCTAACCAGTAGTAAACTACTTCATAGTTGTACAGAATGTTGTGTTTTTTCCCCAGTTAGGGTTAACCGTACAGTCACCAAAATATCACAAATATATATTTGTTTAATTTACTTCACCAGTTAGTGCAGTATGTGAATACTAGTCCTACTAGAGTTGATGATTCTCTCAACTATTATTTGTTTTATTCCACGACAAAGTTCGTGTCTTCTCTCCCACTTCATAGTTGTACAGAATGTTGTGTTTTTTTCCCCAGTTAGGGTTAACCGTACAGTCACCAAAATATCACAAATATATATTTGTTTCATTTACTTCACCAGTTAGTGCAGTATGTGAATACTAGTCCTACTAGAGTTGATGATTCTCTCAACTATTATTTGTTTTATATAAACAGTCCCAGCAATCAGTGTTTTTACTCACAAATATTAACAAAATGGTCAAATAGGAAAATATAGATGTGCCTGAAAATGCATATCACAGTTGACCGTCTAGCGAATAAAAACACTCTTGTCTGCTGTGATGTAACTGATAAAACTGAACATGTTTTATTCACATGATTATTATTTAACAGGCACACAGTTTGTGCAATGATGTTAGAATTACTTACTTTATGATGTGTGAGACAACTATGTCTCTATTTCAAGAAACTGTATACTTTTATTATGTTAACATTTTTGGCAAAAATGTTTAAAATGTATCATAAAAACAAACTAAGAACCTCCTTGTTTAACAGGAAGTTTAGTCGCACGTGGCTAGAATCTTTTACAGATTGCACCCGAGTGTCAAATTGGGGATGACATTTAAAAGTCCTAGCAGGCAGATGCAGTCAATAAAAGCTTGTTGTGGTCATTTCAATGATCACTCTCAGTTTAAAGTTGCATACATTACAATAAAAAAGCTTTTATAAATAATTTCTACACTCACTCAGCTAATACAGTATTGACATGAACAAATCACGTATCTGTAACTGTAAAATTTTCTAGTTCTGCATCTTTTGTGAGAATAAACTTAGACGTAAACTTGACATTCTTAGATTAACATTAAATGCACGTTTTTAATCACTCACGAAATAGCTAAGATACGCACGTGTAGTGTGGCTAGTAAGATATTGTGTACGTTTCTTTACGTGTAATTGTTAGTTATTATCATCCTCTTGCGTCATGCGTTTCCTTTGGCACAATAATACAATAACATGCACTCGATTTTAAATTCTATACACAAAAAATCATGACGAAAGTAATACACAACTTTATTAATACCACTTCTATACACTAAAGCATTAAAAAAACATGAAACATTTACCTTCCTATCATGCGAAACCATGGAAAACGGTCGTAGAAGGGATCCCCACCAGTGATACTCTCGATATTGTAATCTGGTGAGGTTGGCGACAGTTCGGCTTCATTGTGGTACATTTCTCTCATAAGTTCAAGTCTTTGTCTGACAAGAAAATATTAGCAAGTTCAGTTTCACAAACTAATATCATAATGAAAAAAATATCAACTGATGATTGATAAACATAAGCCACTGCTCAAAGAAGACTTGAAAAAAAACACAATTTCACATGTACTGCAAAGTTAAGTTTTGCCTAAAAGCAAATTTAGAATGTGACACACACACATATATATAACAAGATTAACATGACACTGTAGTTAAACTATAGCTATGGCATGAAATGTTAAAATCCAAAAGGCACCAATAAGTTAGCAGTAGTTTTTTGGGTTTACCAAAGTTTAGAATATTAAAAACATACTATTTGAATATACCAAAGCAAAGATTTTACACTTCTAAAAAGAAATACATGTACATAGGGGAGTTCCAAACCTATACTAATGATGCAAGCAGAACACTGTTGGCAGTGGAATAAGAAGTTGTAATGCCTTGGGGCCCATTCGTGAAGACAACTGAAAGGGGATTTTATACAATACAAACATAGGGGAGTTCCAAACCTATACTAATGATTCAAGAATGGGCCCCAAGGCATTACAACTTCTTATTCCACTGCCAACAGTGTTCTGCATGAAGACAACTGAAAGGGGATTTTATACAATACAAAAAGTTCAATGTTGCCGGACTATTCTTTTTTTTTCATTCTATGCAAAGTCCATCAACCATGCACAGATGACACCTTCAGAGGACCCACTTGGGCAGCTCAAAATGACTGAAATCTATGTGGAGATGGCTATGAATTTGTACTTGGATTCTCTAAAAGAAATGGCCCATTGACTTGAATGTGTGGCTGGATGTTTTGTTTAAATAGAGCCAGACATTACTGGAATCTAACCCATACAGAGATGTTATTTCCTAATGGTTTAGGCTTAACACCTTCATCTCGTCACTTTTATCAAGTCTCCATACATTTCTCAACTCTCTTCCCATTATAACTGTAACCTAAAACTATCATAAATCCCTTGGAAAAACTATCACAACATCCTCTGTACTGTGTTTGAAATACTGCATCACTAGCACGATGATACTAAATTACACAGACTTTCACAGAAACTGACATAAAAACTATTAGTTGTGATGACATATTTCCACTGGCCACATGCCAGATATTACTTGTACAGATTTTGACAACTGTTCTTCCATTCAGCTATGCTTTGGAAGAAGCTTGTACACACAATTCTTGTGTTACATTTGTAGATCTAAGTCTGTGTAGATTATCTTGCTTACAGTTCCAAGAGCAGTTCCTACTTTACCCGGAATGGACTAAGTTACTGGGTTACTTTCGATGACAGGCTGTTTATCTTTTTCACTACCTCCAGTGTGTGACGTTAGCTGCTCATGGAGTAGCTTATTTTTTCTCTGCTAGAATCATGTCTTACCTTGTTTTACTAATATAGTTGAAAACTAGACATATACGTTTTTTCTTCAATGCTCTAGCATTTCACGTTTTGCATTTTATAATTGAGGAATAGGAGAACCTCATGCAAGAAAGTCCTGTAATATAACCCTTCTGGAAGAGGTATATTTTAAGTGACATCTGCAATCATAAATCCCACTTCAACTGAGCTGCAACAAAAAAGGTTTGTGGCTTTTTAACCTCAAAGATGGCCAGGGATAAGATGATTGAATAATCGGGTTGTTACCATAGATGGTGATCAACCCTTTGTATATTAGCTTTTAATACCATTTCTGTCTACTTGATCTAAAATTTAAATTAAATTAAATAAGTCCATGAATATAATAATGTTTCAGTCTATAAAACTTAAACGAAGGTCTTTAAGAACTTAGGGTTTAGAATAAGAACCTATAATAAAAGCTAGGTCTTTTTATAAATGTCATGAATGTACACAATCCAGGTAACTTAAAATGTAAAAACCCATCCACAATTTACTAGCAAAACTACTCGAGGGCTATCTCTGCTAGCCATCTCTAATTTTAAAGTGATAGATTAGAGGAATGAACAGTTTCATTTGAGTTTACTTGCTGATTATAAGTTGTTTTTTAACTTACACCTTTTACAGTAAGGAAGAATATTTTTTAAACAGGTACAACGTTTTGAACAAATTTTACTGTTAAAACTTGTGTACTTGAGAATGATTGCACTAGTGATTGAAATGTTCATACCTGTTTAAAAAAAATATTCTTCCTTACTGTGTAAATTGTAAACAAAATAATTACATCTTGTATTTCAAAACACAAATACCTTATAAATAATTAATGTCAAAGTTTATAAGCACTATCAGCTAAAAGTCTTCTTTATACAAACCTGTTCTTTGAAGGTATAAGACTGTTGATGTTGAGCCCTGCAGATAAGCGCTGCTTAGCGCAAACAGAGAGACACTGAAGAAAATCATCCTGTGATTCAGGGGTTTCTGGGGACAAGTCCTCATTGTAAATGTTTCTCATAAGTTCCAGTCGATGTCTACATTCCGGTACAACAGGGGATTACAAGTATTACCACAGTTGTTATAAAAAGTTTAATGTGGTTTTTATTTGCAACAAGTAAGAAAGAACTTACAGTACGATGCACAGTTTTATGTTACTTAAATAAAGGTATATGTAATATTTATGCTGTATACAGCTGTTTTCATTTTTATGATGTTCTAATTTTAAAAAGTGACCCGCTTTGTACATAAAGTATGTGATGTTTAGTTCATGAAAGAAACTAAAAATTTGTTACATATCAAGGAGAAAAAACTAAAATCTATACAAACTACGTAAATGTGTGTCTGTATTTCCTAAGAATAAAAATGTAGTAATTTTAACTTTGTAGGATTCTACAAAATTATATATATATTCTACACGCCAATACTTCAAAGTAAAACTGGGTAATAATGAAAAATGGAGAGTTACTTCATAGATATACTCCTAAAATTGTTACTGTCATAATGAAAATTTTTTACTTTACTTTGACATACCTGTACAATCATGGAAATACAAACATTAAACCTTCAATAATTCTAATTTTTTTAATAGTCCTTGTGTATGTCTGTATGAGGGTGTAGCACTTCACATTTTTAAATAAAGAAACTACCATAACTAGTGCAATAATAATAAACAAGCGTGAGCAGTAGTAAGCGTGTACAATAAAGTTTCTTTTTAAAACAAAAGAAAGAAAATAAACACGAAGTGAAAAAAGCATTCAAGAGTAACTCTAATTTTCTACTTGAAGAAAAGCGCTCAAACGACATCTCCCTGTTGTACCTGAATTGTAGACAAAGTCAAAACCAAAAAAATAGCCTCAGATGACCTGCAGAGCTCAAACATCTCTCATTTTTAGTTTTAGTTATCTCTAAACTTAAGCTTTATCATGTTTTATTTCATTATGTAATACAAATTCCATAAATTATAAAGATAAAAAAAATAAAATCTGTTTGCAATAGGTGATACACAAGTAGACAAGGGAAAAATGTGAGAAAAAATATATATATTCAATATTCCACGTAAAAAAAATAAAACCAAACCAACATTCTATGTAACAAGAGGAAGTAAAGGTAGGAGGGACCTTTGTCTACAATTGAGGTGAGTCAGTCCATACATATAAGGTACAGCCATTTCTTCAAAACTAATGAACAAGTAAAAAAAATACAAGTGATCATTAACTTGCTTTAAAAAGCATTTAAATCTCTGAAACTTAGAAATGCCTGTTTACTCAAATCAAACAAATAAAATTTCTAATTTTTATATTTTCCCAAACCAAGCACAATGGTTTTAAGGCAACAAAACCATGCTATTTCCACCTCTATTTCCGCTTCTACCAAGTAAACTAAAAATAAAAAAAACAGAACGCCATATTTATGGCAAAAATAAATAACATGCATGACAGTGACAAAAGAGGAAAAAAAGGCAAATAAACATGCTCATAGTTAAATAAATTAAACCTAAGAAAACTATATGAAACATAGCTAACTGTGTCAAACCTTAGTTTGTTTAAAGTCCAATAGTGAATGGCCCCATTCTTTGTATCTTGTACCTCCACAGCTACAATTGTACGAGGCAAGGGTCTGTCAAGCCCATCTTCCATATCCTCTAGAGGAAACATGTCCGGTGGGAGTGGCGAGTACAATGTATCAGTAAGAAGAACAAACTGAAACTGCACCTGCAAATGTATATTAATAAAAATATACGAGCGTTACCAAAAACGAAGAGAGAAAATCCTTCAAAACCATCAGGCTAGGTTACGTGTATGCACCGTTAAAAATAATCAAAACGTACGGCAACTCGCATTAAATAAAGACTGTAGTTTGGCACAATATATATGTAAATTTTATCAATTACTACAGTCACAGGAAACTTTTTTTCTAAATGGTGGATAACAATGTTTATAATTTTTTCATGGACTTGAATTCTAACTTGCATTAATGATAATGACTCATGGTAATAGATCCTTATTGCATCAAGTTTTCAAGATCAAAATATCCCCCCACCATTACATCACCAAGAGAGCATTAAAGACCTATCAGTAATGTGTGCGATTCTGCATAGTACAAAACTCTTTAACATATATAAAAAAACATAGACATGTAACAATGAAAAAATATATACATACAACATACCCATATAGCCATAAAAACAGCACAGTGGCACAAGAATAACTCTCCAAACTTGAGGGAGGGTCAAGGGAGTAATTGCCAGGGGCCCAGGCGCCCAGGCGAATGAAACCTGGTTATGCCGTAATGCCCGCAAAGCACCTTTAGGCTATATCTTAAGTTATTCATAAAAAGCATAATTTTTGGCTTTTAATTGCATATAGACAATTGATACATTAAAAATTATTGAAATAATAATTTGAGTAATAATTGATATATATTTGTTACTTTATAGATTTAATAGATATTTATTGTTATTTTACTGACGTTTGTATGCTTATACTGTGAGCTAAAAATGGCTGCTGCTATAATTTTGCCTTGTTTATGAGCTCATTGCTGTCCAAATTTAGGATGTTTGCCCCAGGGCCTGTGCTGGCTCTCAACGCTCCTGCAAGTAGACATAGGCACCAATTCTGTGGGTGTTTGAGCACCCCAAATATTTATTGATGCAAGTGATGGAGTACCCTGAAGCTACGCAAAAAAATACACCCAGCACCTACAGTCATTTGAAAAAGTTAGCACTAATGCAAGTAAATAAGGCTTAGCATATTTTAATATGCACAAAGCAAAGAATGGAGCATAGAATAAAGGATTTTGATAAAAACAAACAATAAACTCAAATTTGCTGGGCATAAATGGATTGAAAAGATCAATGAATTAGACAAGTGCAGATATAATATTCTTGTTTTCTCTGGGAAATATTTGATGAAAAAATTCAAAAATAAACTTAGAAGCTTAAAATAGAAATTAGTTTTTTATGATAGCAAATACGAAACCAAATTCAGACGCTAAACAAACACTCTGGAACTTGTACAATGATCTTTGGAAAGCTTGCAGTAGTGACAATAATATAGTTCACTTTGTTGTTGTTTTTCTTATACACAATTAAGGGTTATTTTGCTAAACATTATTGATATAATTTAAATTTTTTATAAAGTCCTTTTATCTATTCATTTTTGGGAAATTTGAGATACGTTTCAAACTAAAAATCATACACAATATGATTTAATCATAGAAACCAAACACTCGAGAAATTAAAGGTTTAATTTAATCATAAACAACACAGTTCTTGAGAATTTGTGATGTAATCACAAAATCATATGCAAATCCTCGGTGAGATCCGTTTCTTGTTCTTACTGTTATTTAATTATCTTTCTCAAAAAAACCTGGTTTCAGAACTATCATATGTGATTGAACATTTTGAAGTTTATGAATTAGAGTTGTAAAAATTAAAGAAAAACAACTAAATCTTTGTCAACCTTTTTCTTTAGCTCCACAGAAATAGCATTCGCCTCTTTCAAAAATATGGCGTTGCCCCACAAGTCATCTCGTAATGAGGTGAACTGGTGATACTTCCACTTCTGAAATGCCGAAGCCGCAAGTTGGTAATCTCGTTCTGTCCAGACTGGTTCTTCAAAAGAAATGCAGAAAATTAAGAAACATTTGAATGATGCTCTACACACACACACACAAACAGTGAGAAACACACACACAGTGAGGAATACAGCATAAGACTAGAATGATGGTTATTTTCTGCTCTATGGAGAAACCTTTTTTTTTCTTGGAGGATATTTGTTATATTTTATGCAAAGCTACACAAAGGATATATGCACATAGTTGTTCCTAATTTTGAAGTAACAGACTAGAGAGGGAGAAGGCAGTTAAGTCAACATCTCTCACTGTCATCTCATGGGTACTCTGAATACTCTTACCAAACCAAATAGTGGGATTTGACTTTTACATTTATAATGCATCCTTGACCCAAAAGTGAAGAGCATGATTTTTTTTTTTGGTGGTAATGGGATGAAATCACAGAACCTCAGATCCGTAGTCCAGCATACTGTCCACCTGGCTGATAGGACATGAACATAGAACCTTAGATCTGCAGTCCAGCATGTTATACACTTGGCTGATGGTACATGAATATAGAACCTCAGATCCATAGTCCAGCATGTTATACACTTGGCTGATGGGACATGAACGTAGAACTTTAGATCTACAGTCCAACATGTTATACACTTGGCCGATGGTACATGAACATAGAACCTCAGATCCATAGTTCAGCATGTTATACACTTGGCTGATGGTACATGAACATAGAACCTCAGATCTACAGTCCAACATGTTATACACTTGGCTGATGGGACATGAACGTAGAACTTTAGATCCATAGTCCAACATGTTATACACTTGGCTGATGGTACATGAACATAGAACCTTAGATCTACAGTCCAACATGTTATACACTTGGCTGATGGGAAATGAACATAGAATCTTAGATCTACAGTCCAACATGTTATACACTTGGCTGATGGTACATGAACATAGAACCTCAGATCCATAGTTCGGCATGCTAATTACTGGGCTGCACTCAGCCCATCTTAAAAGATTTGGCTGTTAATGAAAATTTTTCCAACACAAAAAAAGTAAAGAAATCCAAAATGCATATTAAAGTTTAGATAAGTATAAGCTTCAAACTTCCAAAAAAATAGAAGAAAAAAAAACCAATCTTCAAATTAGCTTTTAATGTTATATAAAGAAACTAGAATTGGATAAAAAAAAATTAAAAAATCTAGATAAATGATAAACTTTGTTTTTTAAAAATATCTCTATAATTGTATTTTAGATGTGTAACAAAATCACAGCAAACAATTTTGTGTTGCAAAGTAAAATAAGCCTATACCTAAAAGAAACTTGAAATATCAATACTCAGTCAACAGTTGAAGTAAACAGCAACACAACAATGCTCACTCTTCAATTCTTGGCATAATCTTATCCAGAATACATTGTTTTAACTCCATTCATTGGCAGATAAATAATAAATTCCTGTTATTTAAAAAGCAGTTCCCTAGTGAAACCAACAGTAATAGCTTGTATTCCACAAAGTAAATTATCAAAATATTCTAAGTGGAAACAATATTTGTCTTAAATTCGATGACGAGGAACCCACTTTGAGACTAATAATGGCTGGAGACGTACCTGATGATGACAAAACCTTGTCGAAACGTTGTAAATTTGCTGTTACGCTAAACTTATATTAAAGTTTTTCTTCATTACCCATTCAAGCCGTCTCCAGCCATTATTAATATTTGTCTTAACTGTACACGCTCGACAAAGTGAATCCTCACATTATGGGTTTTTATTTAAAGACACGCCCTTTACTATTCTTACCTGTCGAATCCCCAATAATAACTTTACATCCACACCTTAGTCTATTTTTCAACATTCATTTTCAATTTAGCCTTCAAACAGTAAAGGGAAAATCAAAACGCACTTAATATATTTGCATTTTAAACCTGTAAACTTACCCTTCTTCTTCCACAGGTATATCTTCAGGAGTGTAAGAACTGTACATATATATATGTGTTTTAAACCTGTAAACTTACCCTTCTTCTTCCACAGGAATATCTTCAGGAGTGTAAGAACTGTACATATATATTTGTGTTTTAAACCTGTAACCTTCCCAAAAACTTCTTCTTCCACAGGAATATCTTCAGGAGTGTAAGAACTGTACATATATATTTGTGTTTTAAACCTGTAAACTTACCAAACACTTCTTCTTCCACAGGTATATCTTCAGGAGTGTAAGAACTGTACATATATATTTGTGTTTTAAACCTGTAAACT